GAACAACATATGCAACACCAATACGCAATAACACACACAACACCAATATGCAAGAACACTGACAAGCAACAACGATACATCGATACATCCCAGCACCAAGAACTAACGATACATACGCAACAACGATACGATACGCAACAACGATACGATACGCAACAAGAAGAACTACGCATACRAAACAAYGATACAATTYCCATGGTCAACGTACCATTTGATCAGAACCACTAATCGAGTTTAAACTACTGTAATTCATACTGGAGGCTTGAGCAACCAACAGTATCATGGAAGAAGTGAGCTGAGCTGCGAGCAGCAGTCAAYGAGTGAGCACAAAGCTACTACGCGTTACACCGTGTTAAGTTGGATTTTGTACACGATACTTTGTCTTATTTGAAATTTTCATTGTCCGTTGAACCGTTGAAGCGTTGAATCACAAAGATTCCCTTATACCAAGGCAGGAATAGAATCAGCAATAAGAAATATACATTTTGGATATAATGAATATAATAAATAAGAAATATTCATGATATAATATAATCGAAATATCGCAAGATTTGGTGGGACACAATAGCAATGCATGTTGGTCCTTAGGCGTCCGTTGAGTAAAATAAATTCAAAATRTACGGAAGACTGTGTAGAATCAGTACTGAATAACACGAGCTAACGTGTAGGAATTAAACTAAGCTGCTTGCTTTTCATTCACTCGCTTTTGCCATAACAGAGCAGTCCGTATAAACCAGATGGAAGATGGGAATTAAAGTAGTGATTAATAAGATAAATTAAATGTAGTAGTTAAATGTAAACGCGACAATGGAAATCGACAATGGGATTCATGCGCTGCTGCTKGTGCTAATCGGAATCGGAATCCTCGGAATCAACGTYGCTGTCGTTGCTTCTGGAGGAACTCTTCCTCTTCCGACCAGCCTTTGGACTGAAGTGCTGCATGGCAATGGTGACAAGGGATCCAAGAGCATTCCCAATTGCCTGATAGGCCTCCTTCCTTTCTTCCCTGGCTCTCACAGAAGCTCTCTCACGCTGTTCAACACAGGCCTCCAATGCCTTAATGATACCTTGCTGCTTTGAATTGGCGGAGTTGTAAGAKCGGACGGAAGAGCGTCTGCTGGGTGTAACAGCTCTTGCTGTTACTGTTGTGTCGGCAACTGCAACTGCAACAGCTGTGGTGCCGTTGCGGTTCACTTCCTGCTGAGTAAGTTCTTCTTCTTGTTCTTGCGAATMTTCTGTTTCTTGCGAAGAAGCTTGGGGAGGCGTGTCCTCATCATGCTCGTTGTCACGACTAACATTGCCGCTGTTGCTGTTTCCAGCTCGATGCTTTCCCTCAGGATCACCATCGCGGCCCTGTGGATGCACATATCCTTCTTCAATATCAAAGTGCTCTTCTCCATCTCCAATATCTGCCTTAACACCAATCAAGTACTTTGCCTTCTTGGCAAGTCTCACCGCCAAAGGACAGTTTGGATCTCCAGTAGGAATGTTCTTACGATGAAGGGTTGAATACTTCCTACGGATAGAGCAGACATCCCTATGGGCATCAGGATAGTGCTCAGCATGAGTTGCTTCCACTTCATTCCACTGGTCGCTCCCAATAGGAAGCCTTGCCAAGATGGCGTACATCAAGTCAATGGTTTCCTGAGTGCCATAGTTGCTTGTTCCAGTTCTTYGGCCTCCTGCTGCTGGAGGAGGAGCTTGCTGCTGCTGTCCCTGCTGTCGTGTTAAAGCCATCTTGGTGCTTGCTTGCTTGGTGAATCGACGTTGTTCTTTTTGCAGATCACGTTGCTCTTTTTTGTGTCTGGAATCGATGCTGGAATTCACACGTCAAAACTACACGCGTTTCACTACATTCCAACCAGTTCCTCCCCCGGGGAAGGGGGGGGGCTCTCAGGGTTCTCAACTTTTAATTCCTGTTGACATGATTCCAAAAGGGGTTCTTCCATGGTATCGATGCCCTTTTAGTGAGGATGCTAGCTGTTACTTCAGATTTTGTACAGTGAACTGGTTGTGGTTCATCTTTTTCAGTTCCGACCGGACACTGTAATCGTGACACTTTAGATTTGTTTTGTTGGCGCGCTTTGTGACACTGGTGTGCTGACACTTTAGATTTGTTTTGGCGGGCTCCCCCGGCTTGCTGGCACCATGTGTTCTCAATATTTGCTGGCGAGAATGCAGTTATTTTCTGTTAATTTCAAGCAAAATTCCATATTCCAAAATCAGGCACATTTAGCGCGCCATAATCTAAGATTTTTGATTATATGTGCATACATACTTATTCCCGTATACATAAATTCGTAAAGTAAGACGGCATAGATTCTATGTTTACGGGAATCACCCAATAGTAGATTTGAATAGTAGATTGTTGCACTAAATTAGGTGTTCGTAGAGTTTCTATTATGCATTTTACATTCTACTCTAAAGAAGTACATACGTAAGTACTACTCGATTCGGAACTAGATTCCGTGTTTAAAGTTCACGTCAGGGTCTCATTTTTTCGAAACGTGGCTCGAGGAGGGATCCATCCGTGCTTAACGACKTCGCCGAAAAGAGTTCCCGATGGTTCCAGCGTTTCGATTTCAAACAGTGCTGYCAGCGCATCGCGGGAGAAGAGTACCACACTGAAGTGTTTTGAGAGTACTCGTCCCTACTGGTACGTAAAGTACGGTAGCGTCYTGTAGGAATGAATGAATCATTCTCCGTGGCTGGCCTTTTCCACGAAAGAAAAACAGTTGCCCACAAAGTTCGCCGACACTTGGCCGCGGCGAGCAGTTTTGGAGCCCCATCATACCTATTGTAATCGGTGAGATACTTGAATCAAGTCGTGGTATTACGAAGTTCGTATCACTTCAAATGAGCAATCATCACTTTGTTAAAAACTACTGTTGACAACAACCATCGAACAACAACAATCAAACCAACCGAATTGGCTCTGTATGCAGCAAAGTCATGAAGTCACTGATCGATGCCCTTCCTCCGCTTGCGACGACCGAGAGCGATTCCTCCGACACGGACGACAGCGAAACCGACCACTACGACAACGACAAYGACAATGACAATGACAACGGCAATGCGTCCGATGAAATCGAAATCGAAATCGATGCAAGCGTGACGGACGAGACATCCACCCCTCTCTCTGCCGAGACGGATACGGAAGGCCACGAGGCCGATGCCCACCGCCCGCGAAGCATCCTCGTCCCCAACACCGGGGAGGATGCCCCGCAGCGAACGCGGCACCACCACCACCACCACGAGCCACGGCGGAACGCGCACGGGCGCCGCAAGCGCGTCTCCTTCGGATCCGTCCACGTGCGAGAATACGAGCGAATCGTGGGGGACCACCCGGAGACGAGGGTCGGCGTCCCCCTCGCCATCGGCTGGGCCTTTTACGTGGAMGAGCTGTACRGGGAGTCCCCCGGTGGCGGGGTGTCGCTCGATCGCTACGAGGCCTACCGGGCCGTCCGCGGGAGCCGCCGCCGCCTGCGGCTGAGCTCGGTGACGCGGAAAAACCTGCTCCTGCACGTCTTTGGCGTGCCGATCGGAGAGGTCCAAGAGGCCGAGCGCAGGAACCACGAAACGAGCCCGAAGCCGAGSGGAAGCGCAAGCATGAAGAAGATCGGAAAGAAGCTGCGCAGGGGGGGGGTTTCCCTGCTGAAGGGGATGGTCTACGCGGCACAATTCGGCTTGTCGAGCGGTGGCGGTGGCGGTGGCGTGAGCAGCGTGGCCGCAAAGGCTGTCTTTTGAAGCGGAAAGGTCCTCCTGGTTGGTTGCTCCCGAAATATCGAACACGACGGGTAAAATATTGCTCGCACGAGTACGTAAGGTACCATGCGCGACGAAGATACAAAAGGACCACGACACGACTCGCCTAGACTGCGTACTTCGACCACATGTACAGCACAGCACAGAACATTTAAGTTTAAGTTAAAAGTTATTTGAACTAAACTATCCGCTTTTACGTACGATGCCTATAAYATCTCGTGTCGATCGCGAGATGCCTCTTGGCAAATCTTTTGCTAGAAAAACACAGAAACGTAGTGTTGCAGTGGGAAGAAAACGAGGTAGAATCTCGACCCTATTGCCTTTTCTGGATTGCGCGCTGGGTTCCGTTTGCTAGTTCCATTTGTATGTATCCGACATAACGATGCACCTTTTCTCTTCTTCCAATGCATCCGGGCAAGGCAGGAGCAAAACTTCCATCCAGAAACAAGAGCATGCGATGCGGCACGCTGGTTCCGACCATCGGTACGGTGCTCCCCGTTCACGGGACCGGGGCAGCCAGCCCAACAGCCGATTTGTCCACAAAGCGAGACCCGCTCCCGCGCAGAGGGCCACCGCACCGGGCGCTCAGTCTTCAAAGAACCGCTTGACCCTCYGGGCAAAGGTCCTCGGCTTGCCCCCAAAGTACCGGTCGTCGTCCGTCGCGGGCTCGATCGTAGCGGCCCCCGATGCGGMCCCCTGTTGGTGCCGGTACCTTTGCTGCCAGCACCCKCCCMGATCGCTGGGGCCTGGRTAGTGTCCCGAGGCGGTAACGCGTTGCCCGCACTTCCATTTTTCGCTGTGGATGGCACTCCACCACGGACCGTAGACCTCCACCAGAAAAATACCGGCCATGACGAGGCCGATGCCGGCCAGYATGCCAAAGAAGCACGCGTAGAACAAAAATTCCTTCCTGGATTTCTTGTAGTGCTCGGAGGTCTTCGGATCGGGGCGATCGAGTAGGATGCCCCTGGTGAGGTCCGGGTTGTCCCCAGCGGCGCCAACGCCGTTCCGGTACACCACCACGYCCGGGGCTTCCCCGCGGCGAAAACAGTGGCGCAGCCGCAGACAGGTCAGCCTCGTCTTGGCCCTCAGCTCCGAGGAGATGTCCGCCGCATGGATGCTAAAGATCGACCGATTCGCGGCAGGTGTGTCWCCGTCGGATGMCAGTTCCATCGAATGGAGGGTCGTCCTCGGTTCTTGCGGATCCTCGTCGCCACCGTTGTTGCCGTCCTCCACACCGTCCTCGACATCGGCACCTATATCGCCAGCGCCAAAGCCCTCACCCTCGTCCTCGCCCACGCCCTCGTCGCGGTTGTCCTTGTTCATTGTACCGCTGTCTTCGATTKTCGTTTGTGCTTGGTTTGTGTTAGATCTGGAACAACCACAATGAAAATAACAAAGGACGYGTTGTAGCGGAGGATCATTCAGGGTGGCCCGTAGCGCATGGGTCAGAGCAACAGTACTTTAGACATCGATGGATTAGTATCCTACGGTATAAGAAATACAATCCAAAGAACGAAGAATCGTGGCATAAAAACAAACATCATGGAAGAGCTACTAGATCAACTGTTGAGATACGTTAACATAAGAAGTCTTAATTATTACGAACTTGAAGTAGGAGTACGCTACCAGAAGGAGGACAAACCGTTGCATGACCGAGGTACCCGTASSGWRSGKRKCSWGKYSMGGKRCGGKRMRGWRMASRACWSRASWRRA